TGGATTGGATATTTGACTGGCAGGGACATTCCACATTTATTAATGTTTATAATAATATACTATTAATTAGACTCAACAGTTAGAAGCTGGGAATGTTTTTCTGTTTTGGAGCTGGTTTTAGTGTGTAACTGTATTAGACTCAACAGTTAGAAGCTGGGAATGTTTTTCTGTTTTGGAGCTGGGTGTTTTTAGTGTGTGCAGATGTAGGGCAGTTAAAATGGAACATGAATTTTAAAGTAACTGTCAATAATGGTTATCAATATTTCTATTGCTATGATTCAGGGCAGGAACAAGGAGGTGCTTAAGCTCATATAATGTTGTCCATCTTACAACTTTATTTTTCCTCTTTTAATTTCTGAGTAGTAGTTTAACACCATTGGTATGAGGGGCAGAAATCACGCCACCATTGTTTGTTGCATCTTGGTGGACCCGCTATACCTTAATCTCATCATCTGGGCATATTATTGAACAAATACCTTATCAATATAGAGACTGATCATATGCCTTCCAGTCTCCCCTGTGCTGCTTCTGACATGAAATACTGGCTTTTCCTCTTTTCTATTGCATTTTGCTTTCAATGTTGTTGGGAAGCATTCTGTGGCCTGTGACTTGTGAGGTGTGCTTCTTGGATCCTTTTCTAAAGTAAACATCTGGTGTCTGCTTGCTCACAATTGCAGACCCGATGATGCAGGTGATCATTCCTTATTCTGTCTGCAAGCATGACACCTGTGTTACACAGTTTTGTAGTTTTTCTTCCTTTGAATAATCCTCTGGAAGTAAGCTGATTTTTTTCTGATATGTAAAGAGTCTGTAAAGCTACTAAAGAATGCTCAGTAGTTAAGAATTGTCATTTTTATCTCATCACCTAGAATAACAAGTGCCTCTGCCTGAATTAAACTATAATAAAATTTGTGTTGAATCAGATGCACTTCTTCCTTTGTGAGCTTTCTTCATTGATATCTAGTGCTAAAGTGGAGTTGAGAAAACTGCAAACATAAGTGGCTTACCAAATTCCATATAAATGCTAGATGATGGAGTAAACGCAATAAAAGAAGGAGCTGTGTTATGATGAGCCTGCATATGTTGCAGACCTCTGTGTGGCTGACACATAACAACTGTTTTACTTGCTTTTTCAATTGGGTTGATACAGCTAAATGATTTCTGATTCCCATGTCTGTCTTTAAGTCCTTCATACAAACCCCTTGTTGTTCATGCATTTTGATGACATGAGTAAAACTTAAATATTTTATATTTCAGCATCTTACTAATTTTTGTTGGTGATTTATTTGGTGTTCCCTGTGCTTACTTTCCTTTTCTCTCTCTCTGTTTGTTTGTTTTTCTCTAGACCAGGAGTATGTCTTGTAGTGTCCGGTCCAGGTTTTTTACATGCCCTTGGTGGGATGGCAAATGCAACCATGAACTGCTGGTAATTTAACTACATTTTCCCTTTAAAATTCTAATAATTGTTTGCTGTTATTTGTTGTAGATGTTGAGCTCTGCAGTATTTAGTATAGGACTTTTTTTTCTTTCTTGTAGGTAATGAGAAGGGAATTCTTCATTTATCAACCCTAAAAGTAATTTAGTTCCATTTTTTGTATTCTCATGGATAAAATTCTTTTTGTCCTACCCCATTGCGCATATACTGGAAAATCTATCAGTATACCTGATTGTATGGATAAATTTGAAAATGAAATCGATATTCAGCCTGCAATGCTTTATTGATCGTGGAGGGTCTTAGAGGTTTTTTTCTAAATTTAAATCCACATTGCCTTTGAATTACTGTATTTCGTATGTGAACAAGTTGACAACTGCATTGTTAAAATCCATATTTGCTCCCCACGCAGACACTTAGAGCAGTAACTAAGTATTGAATTAAATGATGTACAGAGTGATAGCATTTACTCCCACAAGCCTTCACTGAGACATGGCAACTTTAGCTGGTCTGCCGCTGAAAGCTCTTCAGAAAGCTGTATGAGGTATTTTGGGTAGAAGCTCTGGTAATACTAAGCGCGTGTGATCTGGAGCGTTAGATTAGCAGTGGCTGATGGACGAGGGAAGCTCGATAATGGGAACACTAACAAGTCAAGTCTCTGACACTTCGAAAAAAGACCTCTAGTGTTCAAATTCTTTTTTAAAAAATGAGTTATTGACTAAAGTTTTGCTGTCCCTATGTGACCTTATATTAAAAAAAAAATTCATATGAAAACCTTGCTTTTGAGCAGTCATGGATTTGGTTATAAGAAAGAAGCATTCATGGCACTTGCTTAGGGATTTGCAGGAGACATTTCTATTTTCCGACAAACAGAGTTTTGTCTGAGACTAGCTCTGTTTACCTGACTTGATCTTGCATAAACCTGTACTCCTGGCAAAAGGTGAAGGGGATGACTTACCTAGTTTGGCAGAATATTTGACAATATAGTAAGACTGGTTTTCACTGACCAAACCACAGTGTTTGGCCAATGATTTTTTCACTGGTCACATCAGGTTTGCCTTTTGCCTGCCATGTGCCAAAAGGAGAGAAATAAGCATTCAGAAACCCTAAATTTAGCCCAATGAAATTAATTTTTCCTTGGCTCCTTCATGAGTAGGCACCTCCATTGAGTGAAAATCCCAAACATCCTTTCACATTTGCTTTTGGCTGGCATTACCATTGTAAGAAAGGGTGCTGTGCTTTGGAGGGGAAGACTAGGGATTTTTCTGTTGAGTTAACTGATCAGCTTTCTGGCCTGTTTCACTAGGCAGCAGCATGAATACTTGGGCAGGCACTACAGAGAAGGAGTGTTGCAAGGGAAGAGCGAGAGTAGCCCAAGCAAAGGAAAGGAGATGAAAATACAATACACATTGAGGGGTTTGGTTACACCAATCTGATACAGTCCGCCGCAAAAAGGGACATAGGCCCATATCATCTCCACACCTTTCTCCTGGCCATGTACTCCTGCTGCTTGCCCTCTTGACAGCTCTGGCACTTGTCTGCCCCAACAATCACATTGAGTTCATTATTCTGGCAAAAAGCCAACCCAGCAAAAATCAGTAAATAATGTCATGTTAGATAAGTGATCTAAATTGGCTTGCTCTGCAGTCAGGTAAGCATCAAGCACCTAGGCGAGGGAGGGAGTGGATTATGCAGCTGGGAGCAGAAGTTAGAGAGATCTTCCCCTTTCTGTGGCAACAAGGTGTTAAGTCTCCTGCTCTATACCATTCCCTGCAAGGAAGTGGCATGAGGAGACCAGTTTGTAGGGTCTCAATTTGTATCCCTCATTGGTATCTCCCAGATGTCATGCGATTCCATGACAGGCATTACACCTGGCATTGTTAACATGCTGTCCTCGTTTCAGCTGGGATAGAGTTAATTTTCTTCCTAGTAGCTGGTACAGTGCTGTGTTTTGGATTTAGTATGAGAATAATGTTGATAACACACCGACGTTTTAGTTGTTGCTGAGCAGTGCTTACACTAGTCAAGGACTTCTCAGCTTCCCATGCTCTACCGACTGAGAAAGCTGGAGTACAATCAGTACTTTTCAGCTTTTTAGATTAGCTGTTGTCATTCTTTTCAAACCATCTTGTCACCCATGTTATCAAACTTCAATTAAAATTGCTAGCAATATGACTTGGTTTTAGAATTTTTATGCTAGATGCGGATCACTTAATATAGCCAGACTGTCCTAAAACTAGTGACCCAAAAGCTGCTAGGAAGTCTGCCAGCTGACACGCTGATATTTAGAATCCACTCCTGTATTGTGCTGGTCACTTTCTATTCCTGTTGAGATCTGTGGATGCTGAAGGTGCACAACATCCCAAAAGCAGTAGGATTTGACCATCAGATTTACAGATGTGATTGTGGTTATAAAAAAATATATGTACGCTTAAAGTTGGTGGGGTTTTTTATTTTTTTTATATACTTTTCTAGGCCTTTGATTGTTATTGGAGGCTCTTCTGACAGAAATCAGGAAACCATGGGAGCTTTCCAAGAATTCCCACAGGTACATAGACGTACAACTTTGTACAAAAAGATTTCAGTTAAATAATTGGTGTTGTTTCTTCATTAGTGTAGGAATAACAATCCCAAACACTAACATTTCCTAACAGATCTTACAATGCTGTTGATTTGCTCCATCTACTGGTTTAAGATGGACACTGTGTAAATACAGCCGATTATTTGGAATGTCTTTGTCCGCAGTCATGTTAGAATTCATGCCCTGTTTTAGGTTGTCAGCTGGTGTAAACTACTGTTGTCTGTCTGTTCTGAGATGGAAGAAAGCAAAATAAAATTTCCAAGAAAAGAAGCACCACTCTCTGGAATGAGTATGGCTTTGACAGTTTCCACCAGCTGAGGAACTGCATTTTTTTATGTGGGAGTTTTCAACTTGTTGCTTTCCATTTGGCATTTTTTCTGGTTTATTCATGTTGAAATGAGATGGAAATGAGGAAATCACTTTGATAAATCAATATAATGGTTATATGCATTTACTCAGGTTGAAGCTGGTAGGCTGTACAACAAACTGTCTGTCCGCCCAAGCAGCCTAGAAGTTATTCCTGCTGTTATTGAAAAGGTATGAAAAAATACTAAATTAGCAACAGAACATCGAGTAACTGTCTCCTACTGTATAAGCTTTGAGGGTTTATTTTTTGTATAGTTGTTACTGTAAATAGTTTGATCCTGCAGATGTTAGGTGATGTTTGAGTGAGTAAATTAACAACCGGGGAGGTTTTTCCTATGAACTGTGCTATGGAACAGGTTAGAAATAGATTCTGGTCCAATCTGATGCTTACTGATCCCTGCAGTGTTTTTTGTTAGCTTCAGTCAGAGCTGGAAAATTTTTATGAAAGAAATGCTTTTAGGGAGAGATGCAATAACTAGAAATGTAATACTACACATTTCAGCTCTTTTACCACTCATTATGTGAAGGAGATTTGGAGGGGGGTGCGGTGGAGGTGGTTGTGTTTGGTTTTGGGGTTTGGTTGTTGGTTTGATGGGGTTTTTGAGAGAGTGAGAGAAAACACATCCTTACCTCAATGCTTCAGAAAGGGTTACAAAAGTCTCTTGCTACTGCTGTAGCAACACTTCAGCCATGTCAGCCTAAATTCTGCATACAATGACACTGTTTCCAGAAGTGCAAATTCAGCAGAGCATCTACCTGTAATAGAAGAACTGGAATCAAAAGTAATAGAAAATGGAGGCATTGGTTGTCTTGGGTTTTTTCTGTTTGTGCTCCTTTAAATAGAATTCAGCATGAGAGTTTAATTTAGTATTTCCAAACACAACAGCTGATAATGAAGTTTTCTCATTGCAAATTAAATGAAGAATTTACAGTCTAATACTGTGCATCTACTGAAAGACTTCAGCTGGCATATAGGGGAAAATGTAAATAGCTATCAAAACTTGAATTTATTGGTATAAATCAATCCATGGGAGCTTTCCCTGTGGTGGTTCAGCAATATGAAACAGCATGTTCCTTCTCTGCCTGCAGAAGGGTTTTCTTGTTTTTTACACATAAGGATTTTTAAAATCCTTTCAAACAGTGGTTAAAACTGTGATTATTTATTTTCTAGGCTGTAAGAACGAGCATATATGGTCGTCCAGGTTCCTGCTATATTGACATACCTGGGGATTTTGTGAATCTTCAGGTGAATAAGAGCTCTGTCAAGTACGTAAAGATTATATTCGTTATTTTTCAAGTCACTGAATAAAAGAAATTTTAGTTTTAAGTTACTTTTGTATTTTCTTTTCTTAAAACAAGAAAAAGATAAACAATAGCAATAGACTAAATAATTTGCCACAAGGTTGAAATTATACTAAAAATCCAGCCTCTAAATGTAACATTCCATCGTAATATGTGGTATAGATTATAGTTTGTAATGAAATGTGCAAAAATAAATAAATTAATATGGTGGTAATACAGTGATGTCACTTTGTAAATCTCCGGAACAACACTACCTATAAGATTAAAGAACCATGCAAGAAAAACTTCAAAGCCTGTTTTAAAAAAAAAAATCCTGTTCTGATAAATGCTGTGAGTAACGTGGTAGGTAGCACCTGGGGTTTTATGCTAAACAATAGGTTTTATCTTTCAACATTTCTTGGTTTGAATTTTTTAAAGAGCCTCTTTTGTTTTGCTTGACTTCCAGGTACATGGAATGCTGTCTGCCACCTCCCGTCAGCATGGCTGAATGCTCTGCTATATCTGAAGCAGGGTATATCATTGTTCATTCCAAGCAGCCTCTGCTAATCATTGGCAAAGGTAGCATGCTTTGATGTAGCTTTGAACTGTACAAGTTCTGGACAAGAAAAACGACCGAAGTGATTTCTTTTCCCCATAAGTGTTAGCCATCTCCTTTTGACTCTTTATTAAAACAAACAAACAAAAAACCAAAACAACACAGACAAACTTCTTTGAAATTTGATGTTAAAATCTGCTCTGTTTTTAGAATATTTTTATTCTGTTGTGTAACTGTTGTCTTTTTCATCTAGTTTAAGAGAAAAGTCAATTGATAAAATACAAGTTTAAGTAGAAAAAAATTCGGATAACCATTGTCTTAAGCCTAGAGCAAATACCAAGGGATCACTTCCAAAATTCCAAACAAATTCTGTTAGAATATAGAAGTGATATTCTCTGTCTGATGCTCTGGCATATATAGCAAGAATCAGAATACTCAAAGGTCTTTTTTCCATTTGGACTTACTGAAAGTGCCAGCCTACCTGTGTGGAGACATGAAGCAACACGGCAGGTGTTGCTGCTATTGCTGTTTTACAGACTTTCCGTTGTACTCTGCCAGTGTATTTAATTCCTGAAATAGAGGTGTCCCTAAAGGTAGAGGATAATTAGTCTCTGTGCTGGTTAGCTTATTTTGTCTCTCCTTGTGGAATGTTAGTCACTGCAGTGGCGTTTCCGTTGAAGATACAGGTCTGCTAGGAACAGAATTGAAATAAGCACCTTGTTTCACCCAGGCTGTTTTTCTGCAGACGTGGGTTCTATGTTTAATCAGGGAATGAAATGATTGAGATGAGATGGATCTTATCATTGACTGGGTGATGAAATAGTAGACAGAAGGTAGATCAGGAAAGGGTTGGGTTTTTTTTTCCCCTCTCTCTGGCTTCATACACATGAACAAAAGGGTGTTCTTTGAAAGTGAAAGGTAGAAGACTCAAAAATACATAGCTACGTGTTTTGTTGATGTCAACAATTGAGAATCTACTTAACAAATTTATCTGGACTTTCTGCTATATATTGTTGTTAGCAGGATTTTTGGAAGAAATACAGAAGTTTATTCTTCAGGATTTAAGACTCATGGACTTAAATCATTGCACAAGGACCAGTCAGTTATTCTAGATTGCCTGGGCAACCTTAATTCAGCAGCCTTGTACTAAAGGTAGCATCACAGTAAATGGACACACAAACACATATCTTCACAAGGTCTTCTCTGAGCTTCTCTTTTTTCATTAAAGGCTTATAGTAGACCTGTTTAGGGCAGGTTGTTATGGAGCATGTGATACAACAACATGTGGGGGGCAAGCAAAAAATGACATTACACAACACAACGGTCTCCTGTTGCTGCTGCAGAAGTCTCTGCCCTGTAATACCGAACTTCACCCACTCAAAATTGTCATTTTAGATAAACAAAATCTCCTATTTTTCCCTGCCCTGCTTTACAGAAATAGCTAAATAGTTCAACTGAAGTCTTAAAAAAAAAAAAAAAAAAAAAAGCTTTTCTCAAAAATACAGGAAATTTGAACCCAAATACCTGTAGCTTGGCACATTATGTTTTGAGTTCTCCAGAATGAAAAATAACAAGCAGCTTTCATAATGGGAAATAGTACTCTTTCTGCCACTAATGTAATCGGGTTAATTGAAATTCAAATGAATACAGTAGGTTTCTGTAGTATTAAGCAGTCTCTTTCATTTCATTCAGGTGCTGCTTATTCACATGCTGAAAACAACATCAGAAAGTTGGTGGACCTTTGTGGACTGCCTTTTTTGCCTACACCAATGGCGAAAGGAGTAGTTCCTGATAACCATCCAAATTGTGTAGCTGCAGCAAGATCAATGTAAATATAAAGGAAGGCTTCTAATCCTAACATCTGAGAAACAGCTAGGAATTGTGGTTGTCTACAGATGCCAGGGAAGACAAAATGCATACAACAAAAATTTTTCAACCACATTTTGCACCTCATTTTAGAGCACTGAAAATCTTGCTTGGAAAGAGACAACAGATTTAGGTGGATCACTTTTGACAATGCTTAGAATGCTGGCCAGGAAGATACTTTACCTGAGAGCTAATATTCTGTAACTATGAAGCCTATGGCAAGTAGATGTATCAATGTTGTTAGTATGTATTTCATAACATAAAATGAAACTGGTAAACAGTTTATGTTAAATGTTTAACTTAGTGCACTAGACAAACTACTACCTTTTTATTTTAACACCATAAGCACAAGCTTAAGATGCACACATTGCAGTTGAAGTTTTGCTGTCTGCTGTCTCTGCATGGTGTTTGCAAAACACCGTCACTAAATTGCAGTTTATTTAAAAAGAAAAATAAGGTATTTCAAACTACACTGAAGGACTATGTTTAAAGTAACTTGTAAGAGCTCTTTTTGGCTTTTGGCAAAATTAATGTGAGTGAACTATAATAACCCTACTAGGTATGAATATGCAGAGAGTCATCTTGCAGATGGAGCATTTATATACTTTGAGATTGAATTATTGTCCGTTGTTGACCATCTTAGCTTTATCGCTGTTAAGCATGCTGTTAAGAAAAATGGAGAATAAAAGAATATACCAAATATTGTCTACCCAGCTGAAAGGTAAATTAACAGGAGTCTAAACTGAGAGATCCACAACAATCTTAATTTTGGCACCCACTGTTCCCAGTATCACAGTAGTGAGTCTTTCGCTTTAACCTCAGCATCATTATAGCATCTTGTTAGTCTCCTAGTGTAATGATTCCTTTCCCAAACACAGCATATTAGGAAAATAGTAATTCATTTTCTTCTTGAGTTCCTAAACTCAAGAATGGCTTGATGATTGGCTGTGTAAAAGGATACCTGGTTTTGGGGCTAAGCAAGCAACTTAGAGAAAGAAAGGATTATATTCTGGGGTTTGCTGTGGTGGTTAGGATTACTTCTAATTTTGAAAACACTATTAAGTTTAATAATAATTCCTCTTTATCTGATTCTCTTATTTCCCTTTATTAGGGCATTACAGCATGCTGATGTAATCATCTTGCTTGGTGCAAGGTTGAATTGGATTTTGCATTTTGGTCTTCCACCAAGGTTTCGACAAGACGTAAAGGTTATTCAGGTAAGCAGGAAAATGATTATCACTTGAAGGAAGTCCTCTGTGTTCTAGCATTGCCTAGAGCAATTATTGTAAATTATTTTGGTAGTGTACTTCATGTGGCAAATACTGCCCTATGGACAGTCCAGTACAGTGCATATAGTTATGGTAGTTCTCCAGAAATAGTTCTGATTTCTTTCATTATTGTTTTTACTTCCTTATTTTTTTCTAAAAATGGTTACAGCGTTGTTCCAGCTTATCAAGGACTTGGTGCTGCTGTAATGAGGAGGGCAGACACTTCTATGTAGGTGACTAATACAGGATTAGACTGAGGATATTTGTGTGATCTTTGGAGCACTGGATTTTCTGTGATTGAAAGCAAATTGTCTTGAAATTGTGAAACCTTTCATACTGTTTTGACTGCTCTTTCAGCTGGATTTTTTTGAAATAGAATTACTTTCAGATCCAGAGTCAGTCATTATAAGAGCTCAGTTACTCAAAAATGTTAGTAAGTGTTGTGGTTTAACCCGGCAGGCCACTGACCACCACACAGCTGTTCACTCACTCCCCCCCTGCAGTGGGGTGGGGGAGAGAATAGGGGGAAAAAAGAAGTAAAATTTGTGGGTTGAGATAAAGACAGTTTAATAGGACAGAAAAGGAAGGGAAAATAATAACAATAATAATGAAAAAAGAATATACAAAATAAGTGATGCACAATGCAATTGCTCACCACCCGCTGACCGATGCCCAGCCAGTCCCTGAGCAGCGGTTACCACCCCCTGGCCAACTACCCCCAGTTTATGTACTGAGCATGACGTCACATGGTATGGAATATCCCTTTGGCCAGTTTGGGTCAGCTGTCCTGGCTGTGCCTCCTCCCAGCTT